GTCTCCATATCGGTGGCGATGTTGTTGTTGTTGGCTTTACGGTGTCATGGTTAGAATCACAAGAAACAAAATGAGTAGGAGTTGTTGTCGTTGTTGGTGGTGGTGCTGTTGCTACCATAGCTACTTTATACAATGATTTAGTGAATTTATGAAGCTTCTTCGTCGCTGACGTCGATCGTGATGACGAGGAGCGGTAGGAGGAGAAGGCGGAGGATGATGGAATGTCATTCCTGGTAGGAGATGAAGATGTCAGTTTATACAAACTATGACGCAGTTTCTTCAAACGTGCTTGTAGTTCGGGTAGCTGCAACCCGTCCTACAAGCACGTTTGAAGAAACTGCGTCATAGTTTGTATAAACTGACATCTTCATCTCCTACCAGGAATGACATTCCATCATCCTCCGCCTTCTCCTCCTACCGCTCCTCGTCATCACGATCGACGTCAGCGACGAAGAAGCTTCATAAATTCACTAAATCATTGTATAAAGTAGCTATGGTAGCAACAGCACCACCACCAACAACGACAACAACTCCTACTCATTTTGTTTCTTGTGATTCTAACCATGACACCGTAAAGCCAACAACAACAACATCGCCACCGATATGGAGACCATATTTAGACTAGATTGAAGACTTACCTTATTTTTTATATTAGCGCCAAAAATCTCTTTTTCCACATAGCCATATACATACAATTTTCATACTGTACATAAGACGACTAATCCATACATCATAAGTAAATAGATGTCACTTCAGAACTCACTTATTACTCATTATTACTACACATTGTATTCAACATGATGATTTTAGTTTGCTAATTATTTTTCGAGATAAACAGGTTGTAGCCTTCAAATACATTGTTAACTACTTTCGATGTAATGTGAGTATAGTGGTTGATTGATGTCTGAAAGTGAAGGAGTATACCTCGGAGTTAAAGACTGGATGTGAAGTACCGACTTTCGAGTTAGAGTAGGACGTTTCAATTTCTTGAAGGTAATCTAAGTAAAAGGATTATAATCTTCCTCTTTTGAAGAATTTAATACCTGAATGGTGTAAAACAGGGAAAAAGGGGTCGGGTTTAACAATCTACCGAGATTTTTCAGGTTTGATCAGTTATTGATATCAGTTGAAGGAGAGTTGAAAAAGAGCCAGGGATTTCTGGAGAGCTTTTCGTCCTATTTTGGGACTCGTGGATGGTACAAGCCCACCAGAGGCGGCAGTTCAAACTCAGTGCCTTCTGCTTACAAAACAAACTGATATAAGTATAAAACTTGGGCACTGTGGTAGAGCATAACTCCATAATAATGATTCTAACAATCAACTTATTATGACTATAAAAACCCTCGTCGTATTTCCCATCTAATTGCAATGGATTAATAACACTCGTACTATTATTTCTGAATGTACATTATCTCATATTGGATTTTATTCCAATATCTAATCGATTCCACACATGTATATAAATGAAGGAAAGAAGTTGTGTGAGTAACTTGATATGATTATGAGTGGCAATAATTTGTGCTCGAAACGTGGTCATCAGTTAATATAACTGTGCAACACTGTGTGATTTATCAAAATAAAATCTTGACCATGATGGAGTTATAGTCAACCACATTGCTCAAGTTTTATACTTATATCAAAAGTAACATACTCGAGGTTCAAGCTTTATTCCTTAGTTCTCATAATTCATGTACCGTATGACACTATACTTGGTTTCTGTTGCTGGGAGAACCTGGAAGTTGTTAGGTTGGACCTCTTCTCAACTGTCCTTTTTTGATAAGCTCTCAGGTGTGTTTACTTCCGTTGTTGGTTGTAACGTGTGACACATTCCTTAATATTGTTCTGCCATGTAGAATGTGTGCATTTTTGTCTTATAAGCGAAAAGTACCTCAGGTGGTTGCTGACTATTGTTGGTTGTATTTGATGAGTCTTACTTTATTCCTTTATAGAGGCTGTGATAGATGCATTCACTTAACCCTATGATTTGTAGTTAAAGGTTATTTTCATTATTCATAGGTTTCTCCATTTTTGTTAATGAGGATAGATACACTTGGTGTTCTTGTGGTCTTGTTTCTAGAAAGATGGAGTGCAGTTTGAAAAGCAACGTCGTACTTCCTATGGTTGAGGCTTAGTGGCATTTAGCTTTCAATAGGATCACAAGTATCAATCATAGATGGAGCCGCCTTACCAGCATGTGGTAATAATGATCAGTTGAGATGACTGGAAAATGTGTTACGCATATTCTCGACAGATAAAATTAACTGTGAAGTAAGATTGTATTGAAAGAGAGAGAATTAGAGATAGTCAGGTTGAAATGTCGCTGCAATCCACGAAATCATTGACTGTTAATCTTAGCTGTTTAGGCAGGTGTAGACTGTTTGACTGAAGTCGTCGGTACAGTTGGAAACCTATTTCCATACGACTTATTTCAGAAGTGATAATATTGCAGGAATAGTCACAGAAAAGTGATTACCTCACTAGTCATAAGCTATCTCACAGCTTAGTTAGTTATCCTTTTATCGGATAACATAGTCTTTGGTGCAATCAAGGGCAGACGAATGCCATTTGTTATGTTAACTTTGTGTATACAAATTTATGTGTATCTTCGGTAGCGGTTACATTGGGGGAACAGAAAGAAGGACATACTTCTGATTTTCTGAACATCAACTAAAAAGTATGCCGTGACTGGTTGTGCCGTATATTCAGGTCGTAAGGTGGGCACCCTGAGATTCTTTAAAATTATCAATTGAGAAAATCGTCTAATTCCCCTCAGTTTTGCCGAAGCGACTGATATCAAACGCATAGAACCCGATGTGTGTGTGTGTTAAAAAAGAAGCAGTTATCAGTCCTTCCTTGCCCTTGTAACTCAATGTCTTCACTCCCCCTCTCATTTGATTGCGTAATCTTGAGCTTAAACCTTTTTCCCTTTCTCTATAACATAATTTTGTATGTCTTGTATCCATGACTTGAGTTAAACTCACCACATTATTACTCAACTTGTTAGTAACCCAGCATCTTATCCACCTCTTATCTTTATTCGGCAACTCCCTTCCAACTAAATCCAAGCAGTTTTATTTAAATTTTTATTTAACTCGGAACTTCTTTGTGTAAGTTGTGAGTGTAATTTGTGAGCAGGGTTGATTAATTGTAGAGTCTCCTATTAACTGACATCATGTTATGTTTGCAAGTACGTTAAAATTGCTCTGTTCGTCTCGTTTTGAACCTATAGTGAGTCCCGCCAAATGCAAGATGATGTTACAGGATTGGACTACACCGACTCCTATATTAGAAATGGGAAGTGAAGTGGTAGAGCACTTTAACCGCTTCACTTACTTGGGAAGTACCATCAGCCAGTGCCAACGGGTTGATCTCTGACGAGATCTCAGCACGGATACAGAGGGCTAGTTTCGCATATGCCAGTTTACGCCGTCTCTGGCGTAGACGCGATATCCGGCTGGCTATCGATCAAAGGGCGTGTGTACTGCCCATCAGTCCGCTCCGTCCTCCTTTATGGCTGTGGGACCTGGCGATTGCGCTGGCTGGCTGGCTGGCTGGATTCAACATAGAACTTGGCGCCGAAGTGCAGCAGTTCGAGTTGCCACGGTCCAAAGGCTATTGAGAGTGGAAGACATGAAAAGATTAGCTGTGTTTGATCATAGGTGCCTGCGTTCTATCTCCCGTGTGAAGTGGTATAATAAGGTGAGCAATATTGAGGTTAGGCATCGGTCGAGTGCTAGGTAAAGAAGGGCAATCAATCGACTAGGCTGTGAAATTACATCGACTGAGATGGTTAGGACATGTGCTACGTATGCCTAGTCATCACCTTCCTCGACAGGCAATGTTAGCTGATATAGGGTCAGGCTGGAAAAGAGCTAGCGGTGTTCAAACGAAAACATGGCACCAGTCAATGAAATCTACAACAGTTAGTCTAGGCCACGTAGGAAGGTGTAGACTTCCTGACTGGTTGGGACCCTCAGGACGGTAAAAACCAAAGGTTGGAAACCATTGATGACATGGCTCAAAATCGTTCTCAATGACAGCGCAGATGTATCCACTTCTTGTGACTCATGATTTCCAATGAAACTGTTTTGTTCTTCGTTATTACTATTCCTTTGTCTCACACCTCTGTTTACTGACTCTAATATGCATTTCTCCTACTTTCTTCTCTGGCTTTGTGTGCTACGTGGATGGAGTGTGGCGACTTGAACTGCCTGACATATGTGCAAAGTTCTATGTCGAAAACCGACCGACCGAAAAATTATTGCTCATAATCATATCAAGTTACTCACACAACTTCTTTCCTTCATTTATATACATGTGTGGAATCGATTAGATATTGGAATAAAATTCAATATGAGATAATGTACATTCAGAAATAATAGTACGAGTGTTATTAATCCATTACAATTAGATGGGAAATACGACGAGGGTTTTTATAGTCATAATAAGTTGATTGTTAGAATCATTATTATGGAGTTATGCTCTACCACAGTGCCCAAGTTTTATACTTATATCAGTTTGTTTTGTAAGCAGAAGGCACTGAGTTTGAACTGCCGCCTCTGGTGGGCTTGTACCATCCACGAGTCCCAAAATAGGACGAAAAGCTCTCCAGAAATCCCTGGCTCTTTTTCAACTCTCCTTCAACTGATATCAATAACTGATCAAACCTGAAAAATCTCGGTAGATTGTTAAACCCGACCCCTTTTTCCCTGTTTTACACCATTCAGGTATTAAATTCTTCAAAAGAGGAAAATTATAATCCTTTTACTTAGATTACCTTCAAGAAATTGAAACGTCCTACTCTAACTCGAAAGTCGGTACTTCACATCCAGTCTTTAACTCCGAGGTATACTCCTTCACTTTCAGACATCAATCAACCACTCACATTACTCACATTACATCGAAAGTAGTTAACAATGTATTTGAAGGCTACAACCTGTTTATCTCGAAAAATAATTAGCAAACTAAAATCATCATGTTGAATACAATGTGTAGTAATAATGAGTAATAAGTGAGTTCTGAAGTGACATCTATTTACTTATGATGTATGGATTAGTCGTCTTATGTACAGTATGAAATTTGTATGTATATGGCTATGTGGAAAAAGAGATTTTTGGCGCTAATATAAAAAATAAGGTAAGTCTTCAATCTAGTCTAAATATGGTCTCCATATCGGTGGCGATGTTGTTGTTGTTGGCTTTACGGTGTCATGGTTAGAATCACAAGAAACAAAATTAGTAGGAGTTGTTGTCGTTGTTGGTGGTGGTGCTGTTGCTACCATAGCTACTTTATACAATGATTTAGTGAATTTATGAAGCTTCTTCGTCGCTGACGTCGATCGTGATGACGAGGAGCGGTAGGAGGAGAAGGCGGAGGATGATGGAATGTCATTCCTGGTAGGAGATGAAGATGTCAGTTTATACAAACTATGACGCAGTTTCTTCAAACGTGCTTGTAGTTCGGGTAGCTGCAACCCGTCCTACAAGCACGTTTGAAGAAACTGCGTCATAGTTTGTATAAACTGACATCTTCATCTCCTACCAGGAATGACATTCCATCATCCTCCGCCTTCTCCTCCTACCGCTCCTCGTCATCACGATCGACGTCAGCGACGAAGAAGCTTCATAAATTCACTAAATCATTGTATAAAGTAGCTATGGTAGCAACAGCACTACCACCAACAACGACAACAACTCCTACTAATTTTGTTTCTTGTGATTCTAACCATGACACCGTAAAGCCAACAACAACATCGCCACCGATATGGAGACCATATTTAGACTAGATTGAAGACTTACCTTATTTTTTATATTAGCGCCAAAAATCTCTTTTTCCACATAGCCATATACATACAATTTTCATACTGTACATAAGACGACTAATCCATACATCATAAGTAAATAGATGTCACTTCAGAACTCACTTATTACTCATTATTACTACACATTGTATTCAACATGATGATTTTAGTTTGCTAATTATTTTTCGAGATAAACAGGTTGTAGCCTTCAAATACATTGTTAACTACTTTCGATGTAATGTGAGTAATGTGAGTGGTTGATTGATGTCTGAAAGTGAAGGAGTATACCTCGGAGTTAAAGACTGGATGTGAAGTACCGACTTTCGAGTTAGAGTAGGACGTTTCAATTTCTTGAAGGTAATCTAAGTAAAAGGATTATAATTCTCCTCTTTTGAAGAATTTAATACCTGAATGGTGTAAAACAGGGAAAAAGGGGTCGGGTTTAACAATCTACCGAGATTTTTCAGGTTTGATCAGTTATTGATATCAGTTGAAGGAGAGTTGAAAAAGAGCCAGGGATTTCTGGAGAGCTTTTCGTCCTATTTTGGGACTCGTGGATGGTACAAGCCCACCAGAGGCGGCAGTTCAAACTCAGTGCCTTCTGCTTACAAAACAAACTGATATAAGTATAAAACTTGGGCACTGTGGTAGAGCATAACTCCATAATAATGATTCTAACAATCAACTTATTATGACTATAAAAACCCTCGTCGTATTTCCCATCTAATTGCAATGGATTAATAACACTCGTACTATTATTTCTGAATGTACATTATCTCATATTGAATTTTATTCCAATATCTAATCGATTCCACACATGTATATAAATGAAGGAAAGAAGTTGTGTGAGTAACTTGATATGATTATGAGTGGCAATAATTTGTGCTCGAAACGTGGTCATCAGTTAATATAACTGTGCAACACTGTGTGATTTATCAAAATAAAATCTTGACCATGATGGAGTCATAGTCAACCACATTGCTCAAGTTTTATACTTATATCAAAAGTAACATACTCGAGGTTCAAGCTTTATTCCTTAGTTCTCATAATTCATGTACCGTATGACACTATACTTGGTTTCTGTTGCTGGGAGAACCTGGAAGTTGTTAGGTTGGACCTCTTCTCAACTGTCCTTTTTTGATAAGCTCTCAGGTGTGTTTACTTCCGTTGTTGGTTGTAACGTGTGACACATTCCTTAATATTGTTCTGCCATGTAGAATGTGTGCATTTTTGTCTTATAAGCGAAAAGTACCTCAGGTGGTTGCTGACTATTGTTGGTTGTATTTGATGAGTCTTACTTTATTCCTTTATAGAGGCTGTGATAGATGCATTCACTTAACCCTATGATTTGTAGTTAAAGGTTATTTTCATTATTCATAGGTTTCTCCATTTTTGTTAATGAGGATAGATACACTTGGTGTTCTTGTGGTCTTGTTTCTAGAAAGATGGAGTGCAGTTTGAAAAGCAACGTCGTACTTCCTATGGTTGAGGCTTAGTGGCATTTAGCTTCCAATAGGATCACAAGTATCAGTCATAGTTAGATAATAATAATAATAATAATAATAATAATAATAATAATAATAATAATAGTGTATTCTCATTTTTGTACATGAGGGACGCCAGTTTACAGGCATCATCAATTCGATAAATTACACATACGAATAGTAAGTATAGTCAGTAATGATAATATAATGAGGTACATAATTATTCCTACAAATGCAGGACACACAAGTTGTAAAGCCATGGATAAGTATTATTTAAGTTACATATTTAAATTACATGATTTTCGGTGAAATAACATGGTTGCTGTCATTTTATCTTCAGTTTGTGGGAAAAATCGGATAACTGGTGATTCAATGGAACACACCAAGAAATATAGAGATATTGACTTCGCATTAACAAAAAAAACCCAAGTATGCTTTGGATGGATTACAGATGCTTGGGAAAATAAATAAAGCTTGAAGTCAAGTCCCTCATAAAACAATAAAATACGTCTTACAATAATATATTCCGTCTTTACGCACATGAATAAATAAATAAATTTATTCTCATAGTACAGTACATGAGGGACGCCAGTTTACAGGCATCATCAAATTGTTACAGAAACAGAACCATATAATTCAATCACAATTTACACGCTGCAACAAGATATGCTTTACATGTCCGCTGGAGATTATACATACACTTGATAAATGTTAATCCCAGCAGTATAAAACAGCCTTTTCACTTATATACAATCATTTCTGTGCACAGTTGGAAAAATCTGCTAGATTGTCAGTGAGTGCAACACATCAGGAAATACAGAAGTATTGTCTTCGCATTAACAAAAAAAACCAGGTCTTTGGTGGATGGATTATAAGTGCCTGGGAAAAAAATAAAGCTTGAAGTAAATATTCATACATAACTTTGTTGTGTGCAGAGTCCTCGAATTATTGTTCATTGATGTGTTATTTTGAAATCAGTGATATGTTTATCTCATTTGATCTGCAATGTCATTGTTGGGAGTAAATACATAAGCTTCAGACGCATTAATTAATGGATTTCTACTGCTTGTGGGTATTTTCTTAGCGTGAGGAAGGTTTATGAATTTCAGCTGTTCCGACAGGAGTTGAGAATATTAACTGCTCAGCAACATTATGGATATAAGTTCATCACATTATCTAAGGAAAGGTGGGTTGCAGTTGGTGAGGGATATATGGTGCCCAACGAGCGTACATCTGTCCATGTGATGTTGTGGTGAGTTATACCTTTTTCATGTTGTCGGTTTATGGCCATTTTATTCCACTCATTGTGTTGGGTAGTAGTTTTACAAACGAGATTTCTTGTCTGTTTGAGGATACGTATCTTAACCGTTAATGTTTTATCTAGAATTATAAATATAGGCGAAAAACAACAGGTGTAGTATTTAAGCTTATACATTAAATGGTCCTATAATTTCGGAGGCTGTCAGATAGGAACTAGAACTACTATCGTTTGCAAACTCTTGTAGTTTGTCATTAAGCACCTTTTTGAAGGAGGCCAATGTACTTGCTCGACGAATTTCCATTGGTAGTTTATTCCATATCTGTGCATACCTAATCAAGTAAAACTTTTGCCTGGTGGCTGTTTTACATTGTTCGATAGCTACTGTACCCTTAGTGTGTCTTAGTTTGTAGCCATTGTCATCTGAAAGTCGAGTGCCATTAGTAGAGGTAAAAACTAAGTGGTTTAGAAGCTTATAGTAAAGTGTTAAGTTTAGTCTCAGGCGTCTTAGCCATAGTGTTTCTAGTCCTAGGGTATTACATCTAGTGGAGTAGTTCGCACCATTTTCGGTTCCGAGTAATTTTAACGTGAAGTACCTCTGCACTCCCTCGACTTTCAATTTGTCCTCTATGCGTATACTACTGTACATGAATGAACAGTAATCAAATAAAGGACGCACACAAACCTTGTACAACAGAATTCTAGACTCATTTCTGTAGAAGTTCCTGAGTAGAAAGCCGATAAGTCAGCGTGACTTTGACACTTGTTTGGAGATATGTTCAGAAAATGATAAGTTATGTGAATATTTCAGCCCTAGGTCTAGTACAGATTCCAGTCGTAGAAGTGCATGGCCTTGAATTGTCAGGTCAAGTTCTAAATTGTTGCAACCTATGCAGAGCCAGCCACATTTTTCGACATTAAATTGGAGTTGCCAGGTGTCACACCATCTATCCATTTTTTCTAATTCTTGCTGTATGGCGTTTACTGTTATTCCAAGATCTGTGTTCTTGCATTTATACGTCACTTTTAAGTCATCTGCATATAGTATTGGTTTACCTACACTAAAGCATTCACAGATACTGTTTATGTATATTATGAATAAGAGTGGGCCTAATACACTTCCCTGGATCACACCACTACTTACTGGTTTAGGCCTTGAGATTATCGAGCCAACTTTCGTTGTCTGACTTCGGCCACAGAGAAATGATTTTATCCAGCTCAGGATGGGGTCACATATCCCTAGTGAGCATAACCTGCTGACTAGCAGATTATGGGGAACTCTTTCGAAGGCTTTTGTTATATCGAAATATAGCCCAATTACTAGTTCTCTGTTGTCCCTACTTCGTGTAACTTCGTTGAAAAAGTCTATGTGACAGGTCACACATGATCTCTTTTTGAGAAATCCGTGTTGTGATGGATTGATAAGTTCATGTTCTAGTAAGTTGTCTGACACTTGGTCTTTAACCACT